GCAAGCTCGAAAAGTCGGTTGCTGGCGTCCATCAGACCGGGAGGATGTAGACACCGTTCTTGAGGAAGATCCTGTGCTTCTTCCCCGCAGTTGTCTCAAGGTAGCACACCTTCGGGCCCAAAATCACCTTGTTCCCTTGTAAGGTGACTTGGCCCACTGAGAGGAGTGGCTGGGAGATCGCGGCGACCAGGCTTTGGCTTTAAGTGTGCCCTCGTTGGCAACCACGCTGCCGTCAGCAAGTCGGAAGCTGCGGTACCCAACCGGCTCCTTCAGCTTCGAGCTCTCTCCCAGGAGCTTGCGCGGCAGAGTCGTGGCACTGGCGCCGAGTCCACCCAGGGCACCGGTCGGTGGCTCCTTTCGAGCCGGTCTCGGTGTTGCCACTGAAGGCAGAGAGGCTGCCCACCGGGGCCTCCCTCTTGCTTTCTCAGCTTTCTCTGCCTTCCTGCTCTTCTCTCTCTTTCGCTCTTCGCGGTGCTTCTTTGCCTTTTTGGCCGCCGTAACCTTTGTCTCGGACGGTGGCAGCTCTCTCGTTCGAGCCTTTGGCTCGGGCAACTCCTCCTGTGGGTCTTCTTCCAACAACGCGCTGCGGGCGTGCCTGGAGAGAGGTGCAGCTGCCTTCTCGTCTTTCAGCTCCTTTTCGGCCAAGGGAAAGACCTTCTCCTTGTTTCCAGCCCCAGGCTGGTCAAAGCGGCGCGCCCAGGTGAGCTGAGTGTGCAGGTTCTTCTCCGTCCTTTCCTGCTTGTGCTCAGACGGTGCTTCTCAGCTCTCTTGCGGGACCTCTCCAGGCGACCTCCCATCTCCGGCTTGTCCCGCTCGTCGGCTGCTGTGCCCAACCTTTGTGCCCCGTCGCGTGGCCTTCTTCCCTTCTTGAGGCTCTTAATGACAGCGCCCAGCTCCTGAAGCTCAGCTTCTGTGTTCTCACGCGCCGGGTCGTCAGATGTCATATTGTCGAGGGCCTTCTGCAGGTCTTCGCGCCTGCTCACGCTCGCCCAAAAGGACGGACCGAGCCGCGTTTGTGACACCGTAGGCCGGGCCCTGCGCCGAAGACGACGCTGGAACCTCCTGCCTGGCTCTCTTGCGCGGCGGTACGTACCTCCCTGTTGAGGGTTCCGACTTTCCTACGGTGCGGGGGCACGTACTTCTCGGCGAGGGCTCCGGCTCCTTTGTCTCCTGGGCCTCGGTCCTCCTGTGTGGAGGAACGTGCTTTGCAGTACAACCCTCCTTCTCAGGTATTTGTCTTAACCACACGCCGTCTCTGTATAGGGGAGCGCGAGCGTCCCCTACGCTCCTGAGGCGGCTGCTCAGGCTCGCTCAAACTGCCACGAAGGTAGAAGAGGACCGCTTCTTTGAGGAGCCGTACTTGTGTGAGGTCACGCTCCCTTCGGGCTCCACCTTTGGAGGGGCGCCCTTCCGAGGGTCCTTGCTTCGTCTGCTATAGCCGGTCTCACATAAGGCCTCAAACTGGGAAGTGCTCGGGTGGCCTGGCTCGTCTCGCTTGGACCACAGGTGCTGCGTAAGGGGCGTCTTCATTGAACCTCTTGCAGCCAGGACAGGGGCACCAGTAGTCGGGTGCGCCGTCCTTCGCGGCCGGTGGCGGGCCCGGTGCTGAATCAGCACTCGGTCCCAGCACACACAGGAAGCCGAGGTCTCCATCGCCAGCCTGTTCTCCGTCTTGGCCATCGGTCTCTGGCCACTCTTGTTCTTCCTCTCCTTCACCTTCAAAGGAGTGGGCTTTTCTTTTGCCCTTGCCCTTTCCTCCTTTCTTGCCCTTGGTGCCCTTGGCTCCAGCCCTGGGCTCCTTGGGCTCCGGAGGTTTGCCAGTGTCGCCATTCTCCTTGGCGTACCAGCAAGCGCTTTTGCGGTGGCCCTTCTTCTTGCACAGGTGGCAGACCACATCCTTGTCTGGGTTGTGGGGCTTCTCCTTGCCTTTGCCACCTTTTCCTTTACCACCCTTGTTGCCCTTGAAGGTGTCCAAGTCCATGGGCGCAGCACCGCCATCGTCGATCTTGGCCGCCTTCTGCTCTGTGTAGGAGATGACCTCGGCCCTGGCCTTGGCATAGGTGTCCAAGCGGCAGATCTTCATCTCCAGGTGGTCTTCGAGCTGCTCGGGGACCATGCTCAGGAGAATGGTGACCTTCTGCGCATCATCCAGGTCGCGGGTTTCCTCTCTGAACATATTCGGCCAGGTCGGCCTCCCACTTGTCTATGGCAGCTCTGAGCTGCTCAAGCGTGGCCCGGGGCTGCACCAGGATGCGCCGATTGCTTCTTGCATTGTGAGGTTCGTACACGTGGCAGAGACGTCGCCATGCGTCTAGGCCACACCTTTTCCGAGCATTGAATACCACAGTGT